TAATAATAATAAATAGGCCTATAACACATCATTTACAAGGGTTATTCCACTAACTCAGTGATGGCATTCTTGTGTCATTCATTCATTTTCCTTGAAAAAACAATTATGGCGAAGTAACAACAAATTTTCCATTTTCCAGAATGAAGCTACTGGTTCTAATGGTACCAATAGCGTTGCAGTACGTACTAAAAAGCGCAACAAGCGATCGTCTGCAGAGAAGTGGAGACAGAATGTGCCAAAAGAGAAACGACTAAGAGGTGAACAATACAAGAATCGAAGGGGTAAAGACCAACCAGCCAAGAAAATGGGACCGCCATGCCAGTCCAAATTTTGTGAGAAATCTAAATTTCGAGAGTGCCAGTTGCTAACTGAAGAGGATAGACGAGAAATCTTTGAACGATTCTGGACTATGGAGTCCTGGGAAGCTCGCAGGGCTTACATTACTGCCTTGATTAATAAGGTAATGACAGTTCGAGATAAAATCATGCTCTGGAAGAAAAAAAATTAGGTTTTCTCAATATCAGCAGTTTTTTTTTTGAAACCGTAGTTTATCCTAAATATGGGTTACCAGTATACACCTTGGCTTGAGTTAAGTTTTTCTGAAAACCAAAACCAATGCTGCCCTGACTGTTGTATTTTAATTTCTAACTTTTTCCTCAGGTCAACATCAAGCAGAAGAAGACAGAAGGACAATCCAGGCGTGCATCCTCGTTCTCATACACACTGAAATTACAAGATGGCTCAGCAGTTCAAGTCTGCAAACCCTTGTTCTGTTCAACCCTTGCCTTGTCTACGAAAACCATTGTCTTATGGATGGAGGATAAGAAGACCAATGATGGAAACAACAACCAGGAGAAAAGTGTTAAGGCCCCTAAAACTGGTGAGTAGACCTAGGTGTTTGGGCTAAAATGCGGCATGTGCATCTGTGAAATTTCTGAAACTTTCAGCTGATGATTCCTAACTTTCTGAAATATTTACAGTACACTTACATCGTTCCTATTGTTTTGCTTTCAGGTAAACAGGCTCCTGTTAGTGAGACGGATATGAATTTTTTGAAAGGCTGGCTTGGTAGTCTTCCAATGGTGCCATCCCACTACTGCCACAACATACCCACCTACCAAGACAAGAAGTTTTTGTTTGAGGGAACCAGTATTGCCCAATTACACAGGGACTACAAGAAGGATGCAGAAGCAGCCTCTGTTCGCCAGCTAAGTATCTGCAAATTTGATGAAGTATTCAAAGGAGAAGGCTATTCTATTTTTAAACCCAGAAAAGACAGGTGTGATACGTGCATTTCTGCCAAACAAGGCAACAGCAATGATCCTGAATATCAAGCCCATGTGAAGGCCAAAGATGAGGCACAAGCTGAAAAAGTCAAAGACAAGACAAACACCAAAGAGGGACACTGCTATCCTTGGGCAGAACACCAAGGTGACTTAAGTAGCGAAGTATTCGCTTCTCTTCAGTATCAGCATTTTGACAGGTTTCTAGCAGACAACCCAAATTCCAAAGTACTGATTATCTGGTCAGACGGATGCGGTTACCAAAACCGCTGTGCAGTGGTAAGCAATGCATACCTGAATCTGGCAATGAAACACAATGTTACTGTCATCCAAAAATTTTTAGTTGCCGGCCACACACAGATGGAATGCGACTCTATGCATAGTTGTATTCAACGTAAGATAGTTGGTGACATCTATACTCCTCGGGATTATGTCGTAATTATGCAGACAGCACGTATCCATCCTTTCCCTTATCGTGTGCACCAGGTTACACACGAGTTTTTCAAGCTGTCAGGTTCTTATGTTTCAAGCATCCGCCCTGGTAAGAAAACTGGCGATGCAACAGTGCATAACTTGAGGGCATAGAAGTACATGCCTACTGGTGAGATCAAATACAAAGTTGAATTATCAGCAGATTCTACTTGGAGTAACTTGCCTCAGAGAATCAACATTCCAAATATTCCACTGTTGTGGGTCAGGTTATTTGATGGCCCAGTACCAATCAAGGCTCGCAAATACAACGACCTACAATCAATGAAGAACGTCCTCCCACAAGATTGCCATGATTATTACAACAATCTACCACATGAATAATGTGTAAGATCTTATTACACGTGGAAATAATGCTGTTATCTTGTGTGTGGCTTCTACAGAAAAAGTTCTACCCCATAGCTCTCATGAACAATCCTATGTCCTGTAATATTTAGTGACAAATGCCTATGTCATTGATGAAAAGTGCCTATGTCAAATTATCGTTAATGTCATTTATGCCTATGTCATTTCAGTCCGTGTGAAAACAACCTAAAGCAAAATAATTTTCTGCATCATTACTGTACTGCTATTTGATAGTTTTGTCAAAAGAGTTTATAATAAAGACACGTTTTTGAAGATATGAAAAGGTTTTCTGTGATTTTCTCAAAAGTCCTAAAAATGACTTAGGCAATTATGTTATTAGTGTGACGATATACATACATACATATATACATACATATATACATACATATATATATATATATATATATATATATATATATATATTAAAAGGCAAATTACTGAAAAACAACAATGCTGTGGGAAACAATGGCTGGATCTCAGTAGAGATACAAAAATGGTAAGCAACAGCTAAAAAGTAAACAGCCAGAAATAGAACCAGAGCTTTCGGACAACACTAGTCCTTCCTCTGTGGCGAGTGAGTGAGGGTAGAAAAAGCTAGATGGTATAAAGTGAGAATTTCATGCAAGCATGATTGGAAACAATAGGCTGGGTGCGATTAGAATAAACAGCCTAAACAAGTAAACAGGAAGGCCAAAACTAAACTTTAGAGGCAAGCCTCAATAATATTGAATCCCAACATGATGGCGTGTATTTTCAATACTTGGAGTATGTATTATACTTTCTTATCAGAGATTAATCGGTGGACCTTTCGGTTTTAAGCCTCAATAATGTTCCTAATATTATCGAGTCCAAATGGTGTGGTTGTTTTAAAAGTTCCCAGTGATTCTCTTTATCTTTGCGATTTTTGTCGCTTGTTTCTCCGACATATTGTTTACCACAAATATTACAATATGAGATAAATGACATTTTTGGTGAGGCAATTAATTGATTGATTAAAATATGTGGTTTGTTTGGTTGCTCTTGAATGATTGTGATATATATATACACTGTATATGTGTATGTGTGTATATATACTGTTTATATATTTTTATGCTTTTTTCTTTTAATTTTAAGATAATACCCTGGACCTCAGGGAAGAACATTGCAACAATACTGACTGAGTATCCAGAATAAAGAAAGATTTCTATTCTATTCTATTCTAAAGTTTAAAGGATGGGTTTCATGCTTACCTAGCTATACAAATTGCTGTTTAAACTCGCCCTCTCACTGCAACATTATGATCATTTTCATCGATTTCATTTAAATCATCATTATTATTATGAGTAACTGGTGGTTGTTCGTCGTTGGGGATGCGTCGTATCACAGCAATGTGATACGACGCATATTATATATATATGATGCTATTATTGTTTGTTTCTGAGCTTGAAGATATGTATCCCCATAATGCCTGCATGGATCCAAAAGAAATGTATAGATGTGTTTTGTGTTATAAGATCTTAATTGCTTCTCACCTATTTCTCGTTAACGTCATTAAAATTTCCCCTTAGCGGCAGTATTTTCGCCTTAGGTTATTATTTCTAACCCTTTCTATTTCCAACCCTTTTGTTATCGTTTCCCCCTATGGTAGTATATAGTCGTGTATATAATAAGTATGTATATATATATATGTGTATACAGTATTTTCATTTTACAGTAGTTTGCAACGATATCGGAAGTGGGGGTGCTAGCAGGCCTACTAGGACTACAATTTATTTGAAAATATCTTGGGTCCGATCGTCCACACTAATTGGGCCCAATCGTCTGTCACCCGAAGTTTTCATTATGAGTACGATGATCAAGAACATACACATTTTGTAAAGCCGTCGTCGTGTGCGGACGTACAATACAATTGCTCTCTAGCCCTACCGAACAACGTAAGCACGAACATCATTGTGGGACACGGGCAGCTTCAACTGTTAACCGTTACCGGTACAACTAAAGCCTTTGAGCCTAGTGGAGTGACCATGGACTCTTAACGGAAGTTTGGCCTTTTAAATATTTTGTTTTATTATAGTGTTCTTTGTTATTACTATACATGTCTCTTATACACATCTAGATGTGTATAAGAGACAGGTACCATGGTCAGCTCATTGAACTTAGACCATCCAACCCTACTTCTCCATGCCACCGCAATTTCACAACCGCCTCCCACTATTAAGTGTATCTCCAAGATAACAAAAACGGTCCACTCTCCCAATCTCCTGCATTCGTTGTTCCACCACCTGGTCTTCAGCCTCATTACTCTTGTCTCTCTTACACTTCTTGCATTTAAAGCTCTCCGCCATTATTTACATTATTAGCAGATAATGCATGATAATGCTTTCCAACGAAAGTCGCCTGGTTTCTGGTCAGAATGAGGGTGAATAATGACGATATAAAGCCAGTCACTCACCTGTCTCTTATACCCATCT